CATGGAAATGTGCCTCATTAAGGCTGCTTTTGGTTAATGAAGCTGACTCTTACCTTAACCCAAATACCTATTCCTACAACAACACACAAAGCGTAGACGCTAGAACATGAACTCTGTCTCTAATTTAATTTTGCTTTTCATTTTCCAGAAAAAAATTATTCGCTTAGACATACTACTGAAATTTTAATAAGGAGCGATGTAACCTGCTAGAATATGATGATATCTTGGAGGCATGTTTGAGCCCATACCAATCCATTTGTGATCTTTTTATCCATTAAGATATGTGGGCACTGGTGTGATAGGCCTATCAACTTCAAAATCAAAGGAGGTGCAATTATTACCTCCTGGTAAGTTTGCTACCAACAGTTAGAGAGGGTGAGGCGTTGGAAATAGTGATGAAAGAGCTGAGTACGAGGTAGAGGCGGAATGCAATTGAAACAAGTGTTTATTTGCCACATAAGTACAATCATCTTTATGGCGGCTTCATGGGCACCCCTTTAATCATTCTTTGAGTCTCTCTTGTGTGATCTAATTGACTGCGAGACAGGAACGGGGATATAGTACGACGAGCTTGGCATTCCTTGGGACCCATGAATATTTAGGCAGCAAGACAGAGGGGTTGGAAGGTGTTTCACAGCTAGCATGTGGATGCTGACTCTTTAATGCATGACCTCTTTCTGCTAACGAACATTCCTCAGAACTCAAAATCAGGACTGGCGCAAGTTTTGACGCTGTTTGAAGATTCCCCCTACTGCGAGTCTGCCGTCACAACCATCCACAACCGATGAAGTGGTTAGATCCTCACTAGCGGCACCGTGATACGTCCTGTCTTCATAAAATGTAACAAGGCATGTGAAAGGAGGAGATTAAAGACTTCGTGCAGACCAAAAACCTGGTGATCTATTCTGAGTGCGGTCTTAAATGCAGTAATTTGTGTGAAGCGGCAGTCAAAATTTGCCGTTTTGCTATGAATTTCAACATCGAGGTTTTCTCTTGAGAGTGGAGGGTGGAAAGCTTTGTCACTTCTAACGGAATGCCCCACACCAGATTTTGACAGGATCCCCCTAGAAGAACCTCGCTATAGGCAGTGTTTTACAGCGATTTACCAGTTTGTTTCACTAAAATGGAAAATAATTCTCTGAATAAATTTGTTAATATAATAATATGCAAATTCTAATCTTCATCACTGCACTTAAATTTGGCTGATCAAAAAGTAGCGAAAATCGGAAAGAGCTTGTGATTATCTGAATTTTTTATTATAGCGGGGCAATAATTCGCACTTGTCATGAAAATATCAATGTTAAATTTTAGAATGCAGGTAATTTTCTGCCATTTTTTCCGCTTTTATGCGTTAAAATAAGCCACACCTCTCCGGGATCGCGGTATATTTCTTCGTCTGGAGGACAAAAAGAATCCAACTTACCTAATGATGCCAACAATTTGGCAGCGACCTTTTTCCCAGTAAAAGTACATATACTAAATGACCTTCTAACAAATAACTATTGAAAAATCCGTATAAAAGTGCTTATTGGAAGAACATTAACTCGGTCTTGCACATCCTGTTGATAGCCTTGCCTTCCAGCTAAACTCCTAAAGACGCCCTGCGAAGAACTCCTGCTGCTCAAGTGGCAAAAAAACCTTCCAAATCATGCCAAAGTTTTTCTTCCCTTTCCCACAACTTCTGAGTCACCTTTAATGTGACTTGTCACTTAGCCATCCGCATGTTAATACGAGAAAACCATCGGTGCTTTCACTCTTTCATCACTTTTTTGCGTGTGTGCGTGTGTCAGCTGTGTGTGGCGCCTAGATTTCTCTCTTTGATTTCATTTTACGCCAGCCCACCAGCCACAGTGTCAAGTTGAAGAGGAGCTACATTGGTTTTGAGCCGCCTCTAGTATCTCATAGGTGTAAGCCAACTTGACAACCAGGCCTCCCATCACACAGAATGCAGATTTGGAGCCTCGACACCATGGTGAGTACCTCCTTCATTACACCGTCTAATTTGTTCATTAAAACAATCACTTCTGCTATGCCCTCCTTTAACACCTTTCGCTGCCCTTGAATAGTGCATAGAAGGCAATTAAAGGGTTGGCCCAGGGATAAGGAGGGAAAAGGGTTTAACAGATTTTCGATCAAAAAATTGAGTGTCAATTAACTAATTTATTTATTTCTCTATTCTCCTGTATAAATATTCATGATTTGGAGATCTTTTCACTATTCCAAGCCGTGAATTAGTTTGTTTTGCTGTAGGATATTTTATTTATTTATTTGATCCCCTTTTTAGTTAGTCCAAATTGCTCCACTTTCTTTATCACAAAGTTTCGAATTTTCATTGTCAAGGCAGTTGAATATTTGCGGATGGAACAAAAAATCTTTTGCTCCCCTTTATTCTACCCCATTACTTTAGAGAGCTAATCACTTTCTGGTTAGGAAATTTTTTCACAGGATAATTTGATATTTTCACACTCTTTTTGTTTTAATCTAGGCCTTAGAAAAACAAAAAACTCTTGGTATTGGTTAATAGACAAAAAAATGTCTGTTTTGGTTGTATGAAAAACCTTAAGTTGCCATCTTTTCACGTTATAGATTAAAAGAGAACCAAAAAAGAAATGATTTTCCTTTTTGCCTCATATTTGGGCATTAGAAGGGGGGATGGTCATTTGAACCACGGACACTCCTTCATTCCTTTTGTCAACGAGGAGTGTGGGTTGGGTATGCCAATTTTGGTGCCGCTAAAAGTTGAGGCTGGTCAACTCCTTCATCTCCCCTGCCTCCTCATATATCACCATTAGGAATGGGTAGATGAATTTGAAAAAGCATTTTTGATTCTATATTTTAGGGGACCACTACTTCAAAGGTACGTACCTGTGGACAGTATTTCTTTCTTAAAAATGAAAAGTTTTGTACTCTTTTTACACCTATTGCTTTTAAAAGTTGGGCAGCTATTTGCATCCCAGTTTGGTAGGGGGCCTCATACAATGAGGCGAGAAGCAATTACTTGCTCATAAAAATGCATTAAAGTGCCTTCTAGCACAACACTAAGTGGTAATTTCGCTCTTCGCATCGGTCATATCTGTGTGCTTTTTATCATCTTTGTGTGAATTTATAAGGCTCGGCGTTGCCCATTCTCAGTGGTATTCAGGCAGTGAGTGGCACACTCGTGGCACTTGCAGAATGGTAGCCTGAAAGTGAAGCTCCGGAGCCTTACTGGCGATTGGTCAGGCTGACCGAGGTCATGCCACCACTCAAATTCAAGCTAGGCCTATTGACTCGCAAAAGCGGAATGAATTTGGATTGAATTTTACTATATTTATGCAAGAAAAGAGTTCTTTATCATCATCAGAAGTAACCTATTAAAATGTATGGATGGTAGCTGTGAATGCCTCCTTTTAGGTGATGGTCAGTACCACGACAAGTCAAACAGCAAATAAGGCAAGTTTTACTAAAAATAAGAATAAAATAATGAATTTGTATTAAATTTTGGTAAATCCTTTTTTATTTCCTTATAAGATTCCAGTCGGAAAGTCCACAGCACTAACGTCGCCTGTAAAGTTCCCACAACTGACACTTACTTTTAAATGAAGGGGGTGACTATAGCTGCCAAAATATCACTTTTCTTTTCTTCTTTTAGAAAACTATGTCAGCAAAAACAACATCCTTATTGCAACAGGTAATAATTCTTCCTTACGCTTTCACTTAATGTGGGTTAAATTACCTTAAGTTGCCGAAAGAAAAGCACTGACTGAATATTTCCTTGTAGACAGAGGGGACTTATGCCAGAACAGCCTCTCCGCCTCGCAGTAGAAATCAAGGATGTCAGGTAAGGTGCCTTGGAAATAATCACTCCTGATCCAGCACGTCTGTGAAAATCTGTTTCTATGATCTTGTTATCCACTATTCCAGGTGCAGGACTTCGCTTACACGGGCGGAGCATGTACAGTAAGGCCTTTTCGGTGAAATAAACCCTTTAATTTTGTTTTCTTTAATGTCAAATATAAAAAAGTTAATTTTAAATTTCAGGCCGTCGGACGATGCACGAAGGAGGAGTTAATAGAAGAGGTATTTCCTTGTTTACAAAAAGATCGGTGCCTTGGGTCGCCTTTCTTCACTTTTACTCAGATGTACAGATTTTAAGTAAAAACATGAGCGAAAACCATCTCGCTGGATTATTGTTTGGATACCATTCATCCAGTCATTCCCGGCACATAGGCTTCATTCACCAGTCTGTTTGCAATCAAAGAGGTTTGTTATTTTGCCCTAGTTGGCCTCGACTAAATCCCACGATGGACAAGGCAGATTGTCAAACGAATTGACGAGACCGGGTCTCCTGGTAACTGCTACCTTTGTATTTTGCAGCAAAATCTTACGCTCTTTGTTTAAACACGCCGGCCTGCTATTGCCCACTTGCTTTTTCTCCACCAAACCTTATTAGATTTAATTTTCCATTTTCCTTTATTTTTAGGTCTCATATAAGCCCCTTGATGAAGTGGATATGGTGTGTTGATGTTCTTTAGCATACCTACAATCGCCTAGCTTATTCCATCACATAGTCATAGGGCTGATCACCCATTGGGTGACTCAAGGTCATCTACTCGTTATTCTGATTGGTTCTCGTGCATGGATGATTCAACAGAACAATTATTTCCATCATTAAATTATTTATTTATTTAACTTATAAAATCAATCTGCTGAGGAAAAAAGATTAAGCGTGAGTTTCTTAGTTTTTTGCGCAGAAGCAAATTTAGGACAAAATATTATAGGCTTAATGAAAAAATTTGCAGCGCAGTTTTTTTAAAAGAAACATCTCTTATTTTGTAATAATTACACTTTGCATGACCTAAGATAGGACCACTAGCAAGAACGTTAATTTTCACTAAAATCTTGATTTTAGGCGTTGGGGCGCGGTTTAAGACGTGAACAGATGCAGCAGGTATTGTTATGCTATCTTATGCTTAACTTTTGCCACTTTTCTCTGGAAAATCAAATTATCTAAAACTTCGGCGCATTTAAGTCTTTTGACAAAAGACTTTGTAGCTTGATTGTTTGCGTTCCATTGAGTAGTTTGTTCCCTATCTGTGACACCATATCGAAAAAGATCAGCTGTAATTTGGAAGCTTCTTCGAGAACTTTATATACTAAACAAGCGAAAGTCCTATTAATAAAATCTTTTTCATAAGTAGTCATGAAAGTAGGTAGGCCCTGACAAATATAGATAGGTGCTTTCATCTTCTCTCCTCAGTAATAATTTTGGATGGTTGGGGTTTTACGGCCTCTGCATCATCACGAAAGACACTACACAAAAATGGCGGCTGGACAGATAAATTTTCTATTTTTTGCAAGATGTGGAATAAATACGACCTTGATGGTCACCATTCTGCAAGAAGTTTATCTTCTGCTTTTTTTCCAACTTGAACAGACAAACAAAATCACTCCAAACTTACCCAAACCTAGGAAAACAATTAACCATTTGTTTTTCTACACTATAATGGATTATTTGGACACTTGCTTTCACCTTTGTAGGCATCAAAACACTCCGGTGGCAAGCAACAGGTTCGGCAAAGATGACACTTTTAGTCGACTTGGATTTCATTTCCCATTAGCTCCCTCTACGAAATTCCCTCTCCCCCTCTCTGATAAATCCCATTTTTTCCCTTGACAGATGGTCGAATATGCCTCCACAATACATGAAACCCACACACTTGTGAGTTCAGGCAGTCGTTTATTCGAAAAATACTTTGACACCTCGTGGTTCAGGGTTAAACGGTTTTTTCTGACAGACTAGCGATCAAAATAGGGAACCAGCTCAGAAGGGCACAGAGGTAATTTTAGTTTTTCTTCCTTTGCATTACAATCATGCCTCAAAAACCTCGCGCTTTATTCAAACTTTAAAGCATAGAACGAGCGACATTTGGTTCGTAAAAGTATTTGTGGAATCGTATAGCTTAATTCAGTAATTCCAGAGAAAAGCTGTCGCTATTTGCTTATCCACTCTGTTTAACCCTGCATTCAAGGATTTGTCTTTTTTAAATTAAAAGGGTCTTATTTTTATCAATTTTACTGTCAATCAGTTACACTATTCCCCGGTCAGGGAGAAAACTTAGGCAGGTGATATTTCTTTACAGGTCGCTTAAATGATTTGAGTAGTAGAAAGGGAATAGTATTTAGTTTCGAAGTTAAACCTTTTGCACCTTTGGATTATGGATTTGTGGGTGCCAGAACACCAATGATGCATCAAATTTGGTCAAGAATGCCCAAACTGCTCTCCTCAATAATTGCCAACCTTCGTCCGCGAAGGTAGTTAAACAAGGCCGTTATGCATGTTCAAAGAGCTCAATTCCTTCTACTTTATCTACCGAATCGCATTAAGGCCCATGCAATAACATGGAGTTACATTTCATGAGGCAAACTGGGCCCTGTCTGAGGTCGTGATAGGCCAAAGTGGCAATGGAAGGACACACAACTTACCAGGGGTCAAAGGAGCTGAGAGGCTGTTAGCATGGCCCGAAGCCCATGCCGCGGAGCCTGAAGCGTTTGCGCAGGCAAACACACCCCAAAACAAAGAATTAAACCACTGGGTTTTCTCATTTTAAGGTCAAAAGCTAGACGATTTGCCATTCAAATCTTTAACTGCCCACGCCTCAACAGTCCCTAGATGCTTTAACCGATGTCATATGCCATTTTGCTTCATTTTTTAGTTCAAAACTTTATTTCCCTCTATTTTTTCAGATATTTTTAAGTAAATTTTGCCATCAAATGTTAATGATAAAGGCGTCTATTTAAGTAGCATTTCAACTTCTTCAGCTATAATATGGCCCCTTTGCTGCCCACTGCCGTGATCTTTACATGCAATCTTCCTTTTCAGATCAGTGGAAAAAGGACTCAGAATGAAAAGAATGTCAAAGTAATTCTTCGCAACAATTTGCTTTTCGTTTCAGCATCATTAATCGGCTTGGAAAAAGAGTAATCTGTGCTTTGTGCCTTTTCCTACTTATAGCCATCTTCCCGAATTCAGGTAATTTTGTTCCACATAAATATAGCGCTTGATTAAACTTTTGTTTGTAAAACCAACCACCTTTCTTCCATTTTTTTGTTGAGGCAATTTCAACTATTGTTATTTACAAATCGAACGTCAAGTGAAGTAGCTGAATGTTTTGCTTTTGTTCACCTTTAGTTGGTACAAGCGATAACAACAAACAGGGTTAGTTTTGAAATCCACGTGTCCTTTTTTGAAGTGTTAAAACTGGAAAAATGAGATCTTTGTTTTAAAAAGTGGGATTCGACAGCTTAAATCGACAAACCAAAGGCGTAAGATGAAAGCCCCCTTGATGGGAGATTTTAGCTTAGGAAGGAGAGTCAGCCACAGGTGTGTCCCTCCTCCAAAGAAGATGAAAAAAACCAGTCTTGTCTGATGCTTTGAATTTAAGGCATTTGCAAAACCCACAGTGTCAGGGAGATCGGGGCAAAACCAGAGCGCCCCAGCCCAAGAATTCTACTTTTTCTCATGAGATGTAGGCTGTCAAAAGTCCCTGACCTACTCAGCTGCTGCTCAAAGAAAATTTATGCGAGACGTTGTCTTCACGCCGAGACCATTCTCTATCCCTTTCATCTCTTTTAAATCAGCCTCTTCGCTTGTAACACTCGATTTGATGTCACCGCTTGCCAAAGTCACAAGTCGTGCTTTGGCGACGCCGGGCTGGGGCGAAAAGTACTTTCAAATTATTTGACGAGTTATGCTTCTATTGGGGCTGTGGAGAGCTCTAAGTCTTTTCCACAGTTGTACTAAGGCTCGCTGGTACGAAGGATGCACGAATGTTACAGTAAAACTGGCTGGAAGGCTATCGACACCACCAGCGAGGGGAGCTACATCCCGTGAACGCTGAAGGGCCCGCGCCGCTAGGCATCCAGTTAAACAAGCCACCAAATCAATATAGTGTAGTCCAGTATTTTGAACTATTCCTTTTTACGCCATTAACGGTGACATTTCTTAATTTAATCATCGAAAGCATTACCCGATTCCTTTTTCTGCATCATCATTTTGGTAGTTAAAACATCTTTTAAATCCCTAACTGAAAAAAAATATTTACTGAGGTTGAATTAAGCCTAACATTTTCTTCTCTTAGAGAGCCTCCTTCACTCAGAAGAAATCCGTTCGTGAAGAAGTTGTAAGGAGCGCCTTAAAATTTATTTCTTTTTTCACCAACGCCTGTGCTTATTTGTCATTTTACTTGGTGTGACACCCAATGACGAGAGGATAGTAATTACCAAGGCACGTGTCAACTTTTAAAGCCCTTCAAGGTGCCAGGTTCGGTGACTCCAGTAGGACACTCAGATTGCCGCTACACTAAGCTTGTGATGTTAAGCATGTGTAAACAGGCTTAACTCAAGTTTATGCAGGGCCTTGAGTCTTTCCTGAAGTGGAAGGAAAACTTTATGCTAGCATAGAATATGTGTTGCCAACGCACGCAAAGCCTTGGAGAGGAGACTAGTATAGCACAGAGTCCACTCTGCCCAGCGGAAGCATAACCACAGAGCCTTGTTTGTGGAACTAAAATGAAGAGCCAAACAAGCAATAGAAGTGCTATTTTCATTCAAGAGCGAGACATGTGGGGTGCTTACTCGCTGGTTAGAGAGAATTAAGCTCTTAGATTTGTCGGAGGCAATGCTAAGTGAATTGGAGAGCGGCATTGAACTTGGCTCATTGGTTATTGCCTCTGCGATCCATCACTTTGTTTCCTTTCAATTCTTTAGGCATTCGCGCCATCTAATGACACACAGCAGGTCAGTCAAGAGGGAATTTAAAATGGAGTCTACTTTTCGCTATCCATCTGCCGCATTGCAGAGTACTTGAAGAGACCGCGTTCATATGATATACACCTCTATTTTAGACAGCCACAGTTGTTGAAAGCCAAACCAATGTAAGTTGCGATGGTTTTTCTATGCCTTCTATTCCGCTATGCAATCACGGTCTCTTTCACTGCTTCCTAGGCAACTCGGCACGCCCCAAATCCAGATGCTTTAAGAAATGTAACTTGTCACATGACTTACTTGTCTATGTCTGAATTCCCTCTAAACATGCATGCTGCGTTCGTTTAAACTTTGCAATTGCACAGAGCTAAAAACTGCTCCACTTTGTTCTCAGGTCTGCATTTATTAAAGAGGCATTGGTTTCATGACTTTTTTTATGGGGATAAAGCCAGACACAACTTTATTTTGTAGGTTAATGATAGTTATGATCCGGAACAAACGCAAGAAAAGGTAAACTTGAATGGTTTATTCATATTTAACATTAATTTATAAAAGTAAAAGTCGGTTTTCATTTTATGTGGTTTAAGAATGAGCTCTGTTTTCTTTTATTACCTTCACTTCTGTTTCAACTTCTTTCACGTACGATAGGTTGGAATAAGTGGCTTAGTTTGTAGGCCTGGTTTTGTTTGATTGTATCGAAGTTCAAGTTTCTAGGGCACTTGTGAGAGGCCTTACTGAAATTCTTTGCTCCAGCCTTTACAAAACATATATTATGAAGACGAAAACTCCTGAAAAAAGCACTTGAGAAGTTTTTCCTTACTTGTAGATAGCCCAACGAAAATTGCTTGTTGGACTTTTCAAAAAGGTAGCAACAATCAGCCGTCCTTTGCATCTCAGATCATGACGTAAAAATTACTTCATTTCTAAAAATTAGTTACAAGCCTGGGATCTATGATCTCAATCCTTTTTGTTTAAGAGGTAGCCACAAGAGTTGTTTATTCTGTCATGCTTTTTGTGCCGAAGTATGCAAAGATGTACGTGGCTTGCAAGCAAATTGTAAAGTCACTCCCCCATCTTGCTCCAAATTTTGTGCCCACCCTTGCGGATGGTAATTGGCTGGTAGACAATTGGCTAAATACCCAAATTGCTATTGTTGTCTACCTTAGGGAACCAAGCGTACAGCAAACGCTGAGACCAGCAAAAAAGTGAATTGTCTTATTACTTTCGTACCTTTTGCATTTGAGTTTATCTTTTTCCTGGACTGGTATGGCGTCGTCTAAAAAATATATTTGGTATGCATTTTGCCTGCTGGACCACGTTTCCAAGCAATGTAAGCAATCCGTTTTAAATGTGACCTTAAGTGAACACAAATTAGTTAAGGTATTATCTGGCAATTTGGTACCGTGAAATAGCTCAATATTTACTTCTTTAAGTACGGAAGAATCAATCAGCGGCTTATGTGCCTAATTTCTAGTCCAATACTAAACACCTATTCACCTCATCTCGACTTCCCCTGAATTTGTTTACGTATTACGCCACGAATACTCTGGAATAAGCTGGTTTAACCAGATTTGCCTTTGGCTGCACAATATCGAAACCTCAGCCAAGGTGGAAAAACAAAAAAAATGTGTTTTAATTTACTTTTCGCATTTGCGCAGAAATTATTGTACACGTTCTAATAATATACGTGTTTAATAGTTGTTCTAAAAAATAACATTTTAATTAAACTATAGTTATGCAAAAACAATATATTCTTTGAAGAATCCGAATGTTTAAATCCTAGCTGGTTCTTTAATGAAGAATTTAAGTCTATTTTCCTCTTAGAGCACTTTTCCTATTTGTTTCATTCGTTTTAAAGACACCTGTCTAATACAAGCCTAATCAAAATACTATTTTTACCATACGCCCGATTGTAAGATGTGCGATGGAAAATATCTTACACTCGAATGTTGTGTTTTAATTCCCCACAGGAGTCTGCCTCTGATGGAGATCAGACTGTTGTAGGTGCACCAACTGAAATAAAAATTTATTTTAACAACTTCCTTACGCCAGCATGGTTTTTTTAGCAGAGCAAAACCATTTACCCCTTTCATTTGTAGGCAGTTGGATTTTCGAACATAATACAGGACCTGGCCAGCGTAAATTTATATGTATTTAAATTATGCTTTTAGTAATTAACATGTTAGCTAGCCGAGGATCTAATTCGCGGTGCAAAATGATGACATCTTGCTCTTTTAGGCGCCTCAATATTCAGCAAGCGTAGAAAGCCATAAAAGTGTAAGTTTTTGTAACATTAATAGAGTTTTGAACGCACACTACCAGACCCTACTAAATTTACACCACGAAACCCAGAAGTCATGATTCTCTAGTTGGTATTTTAAATGATCTATAGTTTGCCACAGTTTGGCTATCATCCTAGTATGCTTTATTTTTCCTGTGGTATGTTAATCAAATACACATTCTTCAAAAATTTTGGGCAAGTTACCAAGCATCTAATAAAGAAGGAAGCAAAATGGTAGACAGGAACTGGTCTTCTTCTACTTAATATTTGCGTAGGATTGAACCTGTTAATTTTAAATGGTTTTGTTATTACTTTTTAGCCTGCCGGTCGTTCCTTGACCAAAGTAAGCCGTATAATTTTAAGAATTGATAGTGGTGGACTATGCGGTAGCTCTAACTTTGCACAGTTCACTTTATTAAGCTTAAAGAAAACTTTCCAAAAAAATAATTAGTTTACATTACCTATATCATCCTGGTTCCCTTGAGACTAACCTCGAATGGCCTTACTATTTGTTTAAAGTTGTCAGAACCTTTTGTCCCAATTTCTGCTTGATATTTGACGAATTCAAGTTGAGAGTAGAGGAACTATCCTCAAAGAAAACTACAAACCACTGTTTGCTTTGCTATTTAGCTTTTTCAATCTGTAAGTGGATTGATGTGTAGGGCACCCGTGCTCTAATTCTAACCATGGTACCTCTTCTGACTGAAGGTATCTACCTTTGTCCCAAATAAGTAATAGTTTCGTTTTAATCAAGTACGAATGACCAAATTTGGTAGTCATATAGTGCATATAGGTTGTTTTGTGTTTAACTAAAGAAACATGAAATAATGGCAAGTTTTCTCTTTTGTAGTTCAAAATTAAGACAGCAACAATTTTCAAATACCTAGGCTGTGTATCCCTTTTCATTTACAAGTCAAGTCCGATTACTAAAAGGGCGAATGGTGTGTTTTTGATAGTAATTAATTCATTACTTTATAGAAAATTATTGTGCTCCTCTTTACTGGAGTAATTCATTTCTGCACATCAGTGGCAAACTTGCAACACAAAAACAGTTTTCTAAATTTACGGAGAAGTTAGGTGCACTGTCATTTTGTGAGTTTTGTTCTGTTTTGTTTCTAGAAGTTGGCCACAGACGAGAACCATGGACGCGACAAGGAAACAAAGGTATGCTTTACCAACCTAGCAAAGTATCTGGATTAATGGCAAAAATATCTGACAACAGATGAAAACACCTCTTATATTTTTCAACTTTTTCCTATTTGTTTCCCTTGTAGAAGATTCAACTCTTATCAACAAAGGAAGGCTCCGGAGGGGTAAGCCACCTTTTTCCCCTATTTTACATTCGTCTACAAACCGGGAGTTTCAAAAATTTAACCTAATATCTTTCCTTAGTGTAAGCATTACCCGTTTCGGCTTTGCTTTCTGCATATACTAGGACCGAAAGTGGGTTTATCTTTCCCGAGCCCTTCCTTAAATTTTACGTTTTCTCTAAATATCTTACAATTAAACGGTTCTTATTTTCATCCTTGATTCTCACTTCTAATCCCAGATTGAGCACAATGTCTTCCAAGCATTCCTTATTTAGTAAAGATATGGATAGTCAGACCGAAAGAAAAGCATTTTATTACAAATATAGAGGAATCAAAGCAGGTGAAGCGCTAAACTTAAGACCATTATTCTGGGCATTATGCCGAGAATATGTTCCAAGTACGCATTTTTTTTCGGAGCTATTCATTTGTTCCAGTTGATTTCGCTCTTTAATCATCCCTCACCCGTTCAGCTAATATAAAGTAAATTACTGGAGTTTTGTCCTTCGTCATCATTGCAGTTGGTTGGCTTAATTGCAAACGAAACAATTGAAAGTCACACGATTGTAATGTCAACCCATCTACTCACTCTCTTGTGAATCACTTACAACGGCACTTTTGTTTTCTTCATTTGTCGATGCCTCATTTATGATAGAATCAGTACTTACATTGTAAATCTTTTCACCATTTCCATTTCTAGGAGGCTGGGAATCCATCCACAAAGGAAGCCCCCACAAAGGTAAGCGATGCAAGTAACTACTCACCCTCGTCATCATTGCCATCCGCAAATATCCATCGTGTCTAGCGCATTCGAGGTCGCCATTAGTCCTCAGGACGTCTTACGGCTACTTCCAAGCTAGTCTAATAGTTAAGTCACTGTGAGCTTGGCCACTTTTTTTTCAGACTCATTCTTAGTCTCCCTTTTTCTCCACCACATGAGACGATTTGCATTCCTCCGATACGACTAATAAAGCTGCCTTGTCTTATCTTGCCTTGTGTTAGGAGACTCAACGAGCGAGCAGAGGCGGGGGCTTTGGAAAGATTAACTCTTATTTGGCTACTCTTCATGATGCATGTTGTCTTGTCACCCTGGGACAACAATTAATTATTTGTATTATGTGTTGGCATTGAATGAAGTGATGTTTTGTGTCAGCTGCAGTCAGAGGATTCAGTACTCGTAGTGACCTTGAATCCACCCAATGGCGACCTCATGGCTCTATTCTGCATCTGAAATTGAAAGGCTTGATTTCTCACCGTCTATCATGATTTATACCACACCTCCTCGGTATCTGTAATATTTCCACCGAATTTTGTTGGCCAACTTTGGATAGCTAAATAGGTGTTTAGGGCGGTAGTGGACATATTCTAGATAGCCGTTAAAATAAATGAAGGGTGCCTCTTCAACTTTCATTTTACAGCTATTTGGTCGTACTACTTTAACCACCAACACGCCTCAAGTGAGTTAATCACGGTTATTTCCTTCTCCGCTGAAGCATCTAAAAAGATAATAACAACAACTCTAGCAACATTCGTTCTTCATTTCAACCTTTACTTCTTCTTCTTGCTGAAAAATGAACAGCCTGCTGAACTTAAAACGGTTGGTTTAAACTATCCCTTTTCTTCACTTGAATCCCTATCTACTTTGTTCCTCACTTTCCACCTGTTTTCTATTAATTAAGGCATTGCAGACTGTGGCGAGTTCCTCCACCGCAGTGGAAAGCAATACTACTGTGAGTTTCACCTATTTTCCTATTACCTGTCTTTGGGTGTCATCGCTCTTTTTCTTTAATACACTGAAAGCGCTGCTATTTTCCATCCCCCACTTTTGTTTACTCTCCTCTCTAGTCAAGTCAGTGATCACTTGATTCTTGTTTCTTTATATTTCTCTTCTGCCTCTGTTGGATGTTGTTTGGTTGAGGATTCGTTGGGTCTTGATTAGTCGAATAATTGGTGGAAGAAAAGTTTTGCGGTAGATAGGAGACTAGTTTTCTTTCGAAAAATTAGTAAAAATGCTTCCAGACACTTAAAGAGTGCCAAGGTAGTCCCTCTAGTGAGGTCATACTACTACTTGGTGAATTGGACCTTCTGGTTCTGGTCGCTTCACTCTAGCCTCTTTCCTACTAAAGACTATTGTTTGCGTTTAAATACAGTCACATTAGTAGAATCTCTTTCTTTTCCACCCACTCCTGATTTCCTGCTGCTGACTACTGAGCTTCCTAAGGAGGCGGGACCTGGGGTGTGTGTGGAAGATATAACTTCCAGCCCTTTTACACCGCTGATTTACACGCCTTCTTCCTTAGCCGACTGTAGCAGGTCACTAACAGGATACCTTCCTTTTCTTTTGTGGGCAACACAGGAAAGCAGCGCCAATGTGAGCTTTTGACCATTCACACCTTAGTTTAGATGCTACTTTAGGCGATTGTTTTCCCTTCTCTCAATAATTCCCGTCTTACTTATCAGGAGGCGCAAAACACCTCCAAGAAGGGCCTTGGAAGGGTAGGCAATGAACCTTTATCCCTTCAAATTTGTTTTTAACTTTTACTTGTAAAATGCGCCACCACTTTTATAGTTCTCATGGGTTTTAACTTTTAAGTTTTCACAGATATAGCTGTTATAGAGCGGGCGATGAATATTCATGTTTGCTTCAGCTTGACACATTGCTAAGGCATTACAATCCAACCTTCAGAACTAATTGACATTAAGAAGGACAAGGGGAGAGCATAAGTGGGCGAATGCTTAGACTGGTAGATGAGTGGGTGAATATTTACATACAAACTGGAGGATAAGATCTGTGGTAGAACTTTCCATCACCGCGAAGACAGCCTCATCAGATATACTGCTTTCTTTCCTTTCTTTTATAGTTATTTAACCGTACGGGTCAATCGACCAGTGCCTTTGGTGTAAGTAATCTCAGCTACAATCCTGTTGTATCACCATCACAAAGCGGTTAGCATAAACGTTTTCCGCTCCCCCTCCTTACAGGCAGCCAGGCGTCCGATGAACCGAAGCAAAGTATGTCGTAAAGGCCTTCCTTCCTTTGCATTTCATTTACCCAACCATGAAGATAAACATGATCGAATTTTTCTATCTGACAGTAATCTAGTGGTGTGACGCTCATTTTTTGATTTAGACTATTGACTACTCTCTCACAACAACAGAAAGCACCAGTAATGTAAGTTATGACCGGTCACTTTGACCCTCCACTCCTCTCCCCTTGAATAGTCTTGTGAATGCTCTTCCATGTAATAAATGATCTTTCCATCTACTGTTAATCTTTCAGTCCTAGTTTTGACATCTTTTCCTGCATTTTTATCTAATTTGAAGACAACTCCAAGGACTCAGGACTCGACTACAAAGGAGGGCTCTTCAACGGTTAGCAATCAATAAATTTAGCCTTTCGGCTATGCTCTTCCTACTAAGTGTTGACCTGACCTTGACCTCTCCGACGTTTCCGCCCTCATGATCTACTTTATCAGCCGAAGTATTCGCTGTAGTTTGGACACCGGGTGTCCCTTTTGTACTAAGCTCCGTCCCAACTGGAACTTTGTGTTGATAATAGCGATAACTTGTCTTTTCGGTCTCTCTTCGAGATCACTTTTTCCTTCCAGTGACTATGAAACAGAGATGAGCGTTGGATGCCGCTTTCATTGTGCGTAGTTGTAATTAGAAAGACAGGAAAAAGGCGAGGTGGACTAATTAATGGTGGAAGCAGGATGGATGGTAGAAAGAGACAAATAATTGGCCTATCTGTTGTAGGACTGGGGAAGATATGTTAATATGTAGTTGATAGCGTTGACAAGCTCTTTCCATCAAACATGGTTAAACATAGGCGCAATGTTAGTTGAGAAGACATTACTACTTTCAGTGTTATTTAACTTGTTTACCTTCCCTTATGTGCCTTTGCCTTTCCGGCTCACGCAACATTGTTGGGTGTTTCTTTTGTAGACAGTTGAATACAGTCTTACCACAACAGAAAACAGTACCAAGGTGGGTTTGTTGCACATGGACACCTTTTCCACGCCTTATGATGTCATCTCTCTATTTTCTCTTGACATCACTGTTTGAACCTTATCTCTCACTCTCTAATGCTTTACCTCTCTCTTTATCACAGGACGCTCCTAAAAGAAAGGTAGGCAACTCAATTACTCGGTGGAATGTCGGCTTCTTTTAGCCTAGAAACAACTTCATACCTTCCCTTCTTTAACTGTTCCATTTACTAATCCCTGACCTAGGTTTAAAGAGTCACCTAGGTTCGACTAACCCCATCTATTACGTTTCTGAAGCGACTGGATCTGATTCTTTAAAAGGGTGATATGGGTATGAGTAAAATAATGGAATACAGACGAAGAAGAGGCAGTGTGTTGAGCAGTTAGAAAAGAGACTCTCTTGAAGTGTCTCTCTCCACTGTAGTTGTTCGCTCAGTCCAAGACCATTGATGTAAGTGTTTTGAACTCCTTGGATTCTTTGACGTTCAATAAATTATCTCTGCCCATCAGCATTCACGATTTCATCCAGATGTTGAAATTCAGGGAAAAAATCATCCAATATTGTTCTGCTGAAGAGCTTTGAATCTCAGAAATCGATCTATTTATCCACCCATTCGAATCCATCCATTTATCTAAAGCTTAATCTAGCACCCATCCTACTGCCATCCCATCAAGGCACCTCTTTCCATTCGTAAGAATTTAATTGTCAGTTGCCTGAATTTTTAATTTTGCAGGAACCTGGAACCACCACTAAGAAGGAAGGTCGCACAAAAGTAGGCAATTTAATCAACAAGAGGAATAACTTCTTTTATTTTCCCCCTCCATAATCACTTTCAAGCTCAAATAACAACTACGTCCTCTTTAATAACTTGGAAATTTATGAGGCTATAAATTTTGCGTTCTCATACCTTTTAAAATGACAAAAACAAACAATCTACGCGTTTGACAACTGTCTGCCGGAACGGAGTTTCAATAACTTGTTCAAGGGCAATTCATAATTACTCCACCTACCTCGTCCCATTCATTATGCTTTTCTTTTTACTTCTAAATGCAAAGTGATGGGAGGAGAGAGGGAAAAAGTAGGTCAAGATTGACAGACAGATAATGGGTAGCTTTAAGGAAGGAATCGAGATAAGCATTCAAGAATTGAATCCATGCGTCTGGATTTGTAGACATGATCTTTTTGAGTAGTTTGCCCCTTATTTTGTAGTTATTCGGTCGCATCGGTCAGTCCAGCATCGCTTCTACCGTAAGTCAATCGCAGTCCCTCTTACCAATGTCCCAAATGTTAACATTAAACCTGATAAATGCATCGCTCGCCTCAGTAAACATTGGTTATCACCACCGTGCCATGTGCCACATTCTAGTTGCGAACGTCTGTGTACACAGGCAAGCAACAATACATAGACGGAGATGCAGTAGTTCCTTGATCTTAAACGATCCTCCTTAGCATTCATCCAGTCCACTTGCTGTGCGGCTGATACAGACGGTATCGTGCTCCACCACAACAATGGCAGTTCCACTCAGTTGGTAGTTCCATGCCTTCCGATTCCGATTTACACGAGCAATCTCCTTCGATCCCTGATGTGGAAATATTCTTTTAATTGGGGACTCTGCTCCACCAACCGTTCCACAGGATTAGGATACGATTATACCCAATCCTTTGCCCCATTGTGAATAGACTTAACTCTGTTCCCCTAGTTCAATTTTTTAATCAAATAAGTTCAAATACCAACCAAGAATGCATGTTAGACAGTCACAATGAGAGAAATAGAACTAACTTGGGAACAAGTTTCATTTTCATTGGAAGAAGTCCGACAAAACTGGTCAAATTTTTCTATATATTCCATATTCTACCGTAAAAGCATATGTTGTCGTCGGGTCGTAATTTTAATGTTCTTATTCAGGCACCTAGAGTCTCCAGCACTCAGAATCGAGTGAGATAGAAGGCCTTTTTGGCTTTGCGATAGGAGCAGCAGCAACTGCTAAATAAACTTCATTTGTCTGCAGGATGTGGAAGGTCACACCACTACATCCACCGTCGAAAGTCACACTGACGTAAGTTACGCATTCTCGATCATTCACGCCATTTCCTAAATGAGACTGCCTGAACATATTCCAACATTCGCACTTCATCCATTTTCAAGTGGTCTGCCTTTATTGGTAATGCATGTCGTTCCTCACCACCATTGCATTTCTAAAAGGTTCAGAATCCACCTAAGAAGGAGGTCCTCACGAAAGTAAGCAATGAGATGTCAAATACATTGTCACCTATTGCCAGCATTCACGATTTCATCGTTTACGGTGTCCAATGTCAGAATGAACTTTCATGCATGATTGTAATAATAGAAACCGTATGGGCATCGGAGAGAATGACACAGCCATCTATCTATCCATCCCAAAGCCTAGCATGCATCCCATATCCGCGCATCAATTCATCCATCTATCTACATTTGGCTTTCTATCATCTACCAGCCCATCATTCCATCGTGCGCCTCTTTCTTCATAGCACTTCAATTGTCACTTGTGTGATCTTTTAAATTTTGTAAGAATCTGGAATTACCTGTAAGAAGGAAGGTCGTACAAAGGTAGGCAATTTGATTAACGACTGACTTCTGCCTTCGAACCTCCATCAAATAGGAAAATACAAATTTATTTTTGCGTATTTTATGATAGATTCCAAATATCGTTTTCGGCCTCTTCTTTGCCTCAAAAATTTATGTGCCCATGGAGTTGTCGTTCCAGTGCCTTTTTATAAGCGACAACTGTCTGTCCACGATGAAGTTAGAATTCCTTATTTGAAGTCAATTCATAATGTGCGTGTCAGCATCCTCCCATTTATTCGGCTTCTTGTTTCACCTCCAAGTGATAAGTAATGGAGGGAGAGAGAGAGGGGAAAATTTAGGCGAGATCGTTAAGCAGACAATGGGCAGCCTTAAGAAGGAGAAGTGTTTTAATGTTCAAGAATTTGAAACTCGCATCCAGCGTGGTGGGTTCGGTGTCCCAAAGTGAGTTACCTCCACTTGTGCAGTTATTCGGTCGCGTTAGCCAACCCTCCAACGCCCCAACGGTAAGTCAACCGAATTCCATCTCGTCGTACTGTAGAATCAACTTTGTTGACCGCAATGTCAACAAAAAACCTGACAAATGTGTGGTCTGAAATAGAAAGACGTAGTTATTACCACCAATCACCGTGGCATTTTTCCAATTGTTAGTGTTCGAGCGCAAATCCTTGACCTTACACTTTCCTCCTTTCCATTCATCTCGCCCAATTGCTGTGCAGCTGTTGTAGGCGGTAGTGCACACCATCACAACAGCGTAGAGGTGCAACAGTAACGGTTCTGTTCGGTCACTAGTTCCATGCATACCATTGGCCATGTTGTGCAGATGGCTTAGTGAGCCTCTCTACCACGCATTGGTATTGTCTTAAATTACATCACTGTCTTTCAAATGCCACGACTGTGAAAAAGTAGGCAAACGTCAACTGCAATATTTGAAGCCTCTGCCAGGTTGACGGTTTCGCAGATTTAGGACAGGGTTAAAACTTACCGTTGACTCCAGTCGTAAACAGACTTAGTCATGATTTATCCATCCGATCATTCTGTTCAAAAGTGGTTAAATACTGACCATTGTTGTGCTATGGATAGACGTAAGACTACGAATGAGACCATTAATCATCAACAAATTCGTCTCTTGGGGTAGTTCTACGACATTAGTCGGATTTTTGTGGCATATCATATACTACTGAAATAAGCCATAATTCTTTACTAAATTTTATGATTAATGATCTTGTTCAGGTGCCCGCTGTTTCTGGCGCTCAGCATCAAGTGAGTTGAAAAGGTTTCTTCTAATTCTACCGTAAACGCACCGACAAATCCTAATTTTCCTTATTTGTCTGCAGACGATGGAAAGCCACACCACCGCAGTCACAGTCGAAGGTCACACCAACGTGAGTCGAGCTTTTACAATCATCCACGATACTGCACGAATGTGAACATCTGCATGTCATCGAATATTCACACCTCATCCATTTTCGGGCAGTCTTCCTTTCCCATTAACGTATCCACCTCTCCATCCATCCTAGACCTATTCATCATTCCTGCATCCATCTAATCATTTTGCTCATCCACTTTGTGTCCATACATCCATCTATCTATCTGGTTCGCATCCATCTATCCATCCATCCACTAACCCAGCTCGACTTCAATCTTGCTCTCAATTATCTATCACCCTATCATCCCATGGAGGCACCTTCTTCTATCCTCGGAATTTCAAATAACAATTACCTTATCTTTTGCATATTGTAGGAGCCTCAAACTACGTCTATGAAGGCAGGCTGCACAAAAGTAGGCTGTTCGGTTGGCAGTTAACTTTTGTCTTTGCATCGTTATTCAAGGGCCTGGGCAAAATTTTATTTGACATCTATCAGTCTACAATAGCATTGCGGTTTCCATGTTCAAGAGCAACTAATGATTACCTTGCTTACCTCATTCTATTCTACTTAGTCAGCAATTCAATTATTTCGAAGTACTAAATATTGGAGTGAGAGAGCAAATAAGGGCAGGCGAGACTGCTGGTTCTTTGGCGGGGGCTAAAAGGACGCGGAAGAGATCGACCTTCAAGTATTGCATTCATGTGTCAAGTTTGGTTGGGACGATCTCCTCTAGTAGCTTACCTCTTATTTTGTAGTTATTTGGTCGCATTGGTCAATCCCCCATCACTTCTACTGTAAGTAAATTGCATTCCTTCTCCCCAATGTCCCTAATGTCTACATTAAACCTGACACGTCCATCACTCACATCAGTTGGCATTGGTTATCATCAGTTTTCCATGCTGCACTTTTCATTTGGGGACGTTTGAGCACACTGGAAAGTAGCAGCATATAGGCCGAGATGGAGCAGTTTCCTGATCTTAAACTATTTCTCCTATCATTCATCTTGACCGCTTGCTGTGCGTCTGTTATAGCCTGTAACGCACTCCTCCAGAATAACGTAGATCCACAACAATGGCAGTTCCATTCAGTTGGTAGTTCCGTGCTTCCCGATTCCGATTTCCACATGCGATCCCCTTCGATTACTGAATTAGAAAGACCCTTTTTTGGAGGTTATGCCAGATCATTAATTGTGAAGATTACAGATAACACTGAAACTTATCCTCTTCTCCATAGTCATTTGTCACCGCCCTGTTTTTTGTCGAATTTCTTAATCAAAAAGTTTAAGTACTGACCAAAAAGGCATGATGAAGAGGTGAAACGAGGAGAAGAGCACTGGCTGTAAACAAATTCTCCCACTCGAACTAGTTTGAGATGGTTCGTGTACTACTTAAAATGGCACAAATCTTCATCGGATTCTAATTGTAATGTTCTTTTTCAGGTACCCGGAGCCTCTGGCACTCAAAATCAGGTAAGTTGAATAGGTTTTTAACAACTCTGCTTTAAATCCACCAACAACCCCCTAATTCCCTCATTCGTCTATAGGCGGCGGGAAGTCACATCTCTACGACCACAGTCGAAAGTCACACCGATGTGAGTTATGGATTTCAGCTATCAAGCGTTCACGCTTCATCCATTTTCAAACAGCCTTCTATTCCCATTAACGTATCTCCTTTTTTCACCTCCTTTCTATTTCTAGGGGGCTCAGGACCCATCCAAAAAGGAAGCCCTCACAAAGGTAAGTAATAGGATGTTCCATCAACTGCCTTTCATTGCCGTTATTTATAGTTACATTCCGGTGTCAAATATCAGAATGAGCTTTGGTGCATTACTGTACTAATGGTGACCTTGTAAATATCGGCGGGAACGGCCCAGGGATCCATCTCTGTCTAGGTTTCGTTCGCCTGCTGTAAAACTGGTCTTCGTGCGTTGAATGTCAACTGGAAATTAGCAGGCGAGACTGATAGACAGATAATGGGTAGCTTTAAGGAAGGGGAAGAAATTGACCTTTAGGAAATTTACCCTCGCGTCAGATTTAGTTAGATGATTTGTCCAAGTAGCTTGTCTCTTGTTTTGCGGTTGTTCGGTCGTATTGGGCAATCCTCCAGCACCTCTACCGTAAGTCAGTTGCATTCCTTACTTGCCCAATGCCGACACCGAAAGTGACAAATCTGTCACTCGGATCAGTAGGCACTTGTTATTACCACGTTCTTTGTGACACCTTTCCGTTTATGGACGTCTGAGTGCACTGACGATCAGTAAACCGTAAGCCGAGATTCAGCAGTTTCTTGACCTTGAGCGATTCTCCTTACCATTCATCTCGTCCACCTACTGTATGGTTCTCGTGGACGACAGCGTACTCCATCACAATGAAAAGCCACAAAATTGCGCCTTCGCCTTTCGTCCAAAAAGCCGTGCAGAAGTCCTTGTGGACCGCTTTATAATGTAACATTATTATCTTAAAGAACATCACGTTCAGGCTAAGGCGTCACGTTCCGGAAAAGTAGGCAACCGGCAAAGATAATTACTTGTATCTCCGTTCAACCTACATCTGAACGAGCATACCCAAAAAATGTCTGTTGGACTTGTCCATTCACTCTGGCCCATTTACAGTGCCTTTGATCTCCCTGAGCACAATTTCGTGCTATTTAAATTCGATTCCTAAGCCAGAAAGGTCCTATTCGTCGGAGATTGCTAGATTGACTGCCCTACAGTTTCAGAATAGAATTGAATCTTACTCCCTGCTCCATCTTTAATTGACTTCGCCCTGATTTACCCATCCAATCTTCTAGTCAAATAAGATTAAACACTGAGCAGAAAGGAGGAGAGCTTCATCTGCCAAAAATTTTTTTTCTGGAGTAGTTTGGCAAAAACGGTTGAATTTATAGGCTGTCACATACAGCTGAAATAAGTTATATGTTTTCATTGGGTTCTATTTTTAATGCTCTTGTTCAGGCGCTTGGGGTCTCTGGTTATCGACATCAAGTCTGCCGTCAACACACCCACAAACCCTAACTCCCCTCATCTATTTACAGGCAGTGGAAAGTCACACTGCAACAACCACAGCTGAAGGTCACACCAACGTGAGCTATGCCTTTTGAGTTATTCAAGAGATTTGGCAAATGAAATCTGCTTTCCATTTAGTACTCATTACCCATCTGCTTGCGAGTAGTCTTTATTCCTCGTTAATACAACTTGGTTCTCGCCTCCATCCCCATTTCTAGGGGGCTCAGAATCCCTCCAAAACGAAGCCTTTATAAAAGTACACGACACAATTAAATATTATTTTTAATCATCATTGGTATACGCAAACGTTTTACGATGGTTCTACCTCCCCCCCTTACCGTAATTGTTTACTCCATTGTGCTCAGTGCATGGGGCACTCCATTTGTCTTCATGACATCTTGAAGTTACCCTTAAGCTGGTATACTAGTCGTGACACCGTGAGTTGGACGAGCCCCTTCAGTCACCTTCTTCGTTGTCCTTCTTCTCCACATGTAAAATACTAGCACTAAATGCGATACTTTCTATTCCTCTGATACAACAAACCCTAGCCACCTTGTCTTTTCTTGTATTAGGAGACTCAGCGAACTACCAGAAACGAGGGCCTTGGGAAGGTAAACTCTTGATCGGTTACTCCTCATGATGCATAGTGTCTTGTCATTGTGGAACAGCAGATGGTTCTTGTGGGATGCAGTGGCATTTTGTGTACTCACTCTGCCCTTAAATTGCCTTTTTTGTGATTTCATCAAATGAAGTTCGAAAGGTTTGTGTCTCTTTATACAGCAGTACTTTTCCCCCACTTCTTTAATCCCAAGGACACGACGGTCACCGTGTTCACTAAGGGTTCCACCTGGCGCACCAATTCTGGCATTTTTGGATATTACCTTACACTACTTTATTTCATCATTCCTCCAAACTCATCGGCTTCATGACCGCCATCCCATTCAACATTCCTTAATGTATTTCCACAGCATTACCTCCATGTGTCCTACTGCTCTTACCCATTAGAATCTTAGCATCAGAAATGCTTCATGTGTGCCTCCATGAGGCATTATCAGACTTCTGCGACAAAAATAATATTTTCGTTGGAAAATGCCACAAAATTCACTGATTGATCTGCTTTAGTTTTCAGTTTCTGGTCAATATATTGAGTACTTAAGTAAAACTGTGACAGCTGACTTACCAAAAGTTGGAAGAGTCACTTTGACTGAGTAGAAACCACACTTTTCATTGACATAGGTTTATGTTAGACCTATTCCGGCACTTAATTATTCTTTAGAAAGCTTCGACATGAAAAGACTTGACGGTCCGGCTATTTCGCGGACAATTTGCTTCACTTTATTATCAGTGCCAATTTGGCCATCCTAGCATGTTTCCATCGTTTCGATACTCGTTTTCATTCCATCATTAAATTATGTATCATGACCCAGCTACGGGTAGCGATGCCATCCAGGAAAGCAAAACCTCTTCATCAAAGTGCTCCTTCAGGTCATTGTGGCTAGTCAACACCTCTGTGTCTATCCGAAGTTAAAATTTGTGTGAGTACCTTGCAGTCTCAAACGGTCGGACATGAATTCACTCAACCTTACAATGGATAGATTCGTCTCGTCCTATTTTATGGTTAATTCCCAGACTCTGATATTTTTACCGCCAGCTAAATGCAGACAGAAGTAACTACCAGGTGGGTACATGGAACGAACCCGTCACTGTCAAATTTGGGGCCTTCTTGAAAACGTTTAACCCACCCTTCTGCCTTGCCCATGAGTGGTTGAGAGGGAGGCTGTTGCCATACAGACCGTGCTTAAAGTCTTCCCTGAATGTGAGCAGACATCCACAAATTCTGTGTTATCATTACAGAGTAGTGGCACTACCTGCCGCTTGAACTTGATTTACTCCGCCCGAATAAAACTGACCTAAAAATAACCCCCTTGACTGAGAGTTATGTGACACACTTGCCATCCACTTCGATGAGTAGCTTTGTCATGATGACATGCTCTTTTGTGAGTATGACTCTCCAAGTCCCGATTTGAATGGAGTTTGCAGCTTACTTACTTTAATTATATTTATTCTTACAGTTATTTAGTCGCACTGGTCATTCTACCATCCCCGCTGCTGTAAGTTATCTGCATCTGCCTTTCGGCAACACCGATGATGTAAAATAGTCCTCCGGCTCTTCATCCCCATCATTCACATCCACATTCAAACATAATATATTGAAGGATATCTGAGCGCTTCGGTGTTTAGTGATTTAACATTTCACTAGCCAAGAAAACATTCTTCTTTAATGTATCTTGCAACTTATTTCGCTGATAAGTAGATAATGTTCAGCAGCGTAATAAGGGGTGTTTGTTCCGTGCTTTGCAGGCAACGGGAAATGCTTCTGTTACTACTACCTCTACAACTGTGGAAAGTCACACAAAAGTGAGTTTTACATACCCTGTAAATAATTAATCACCCTCGCCACACGACCTGTGCAAGTTTTTAGTGTCAAGTTTACAAGATCAAGACTATCCCTCAAACAGCTTCCGTACTTAGTTTCGCGTTAGTGCAAATGAAGCACTTCAGCTTAAATGAACGGGTTTTCATAGATGGTACAGCGTCTTTCGAGTCTAGACCTGTCATGCACTACTGATTGTGTGCTTAGCCTTTAATTCTGCCGAGCTCCAAGCCAGAGTACTCAGGACGACAAATACTTCAACTGGGAGTGCTACTTATGGGTCCGTAATTGCTGACAGATTGCTGGAAGCCCTGCGGCAGTTTCATTCTTGCTTATCCATGGTAGTTCGATTTTTTGACACAGGAAACCCGATAGGTGGATTGAATTCCTGGAAAATCGGATGAATAATTTCTGGTGCTGCAGACGTTACCAACAGATCCTCAGGATATTAGTACGAAGTCCCACTAAAGTTAATCATTTAAACCACTGATTTTCACTTATTCATCTCACTGGCTTCATCCAGGTTTGTTTGGTCCACGTCCATTATTATTTTTATGCGGAAGACTAAAAGGTGAATATGCCTATGGACAAATGTGTATTGGGGCTGGCGAGCGATCAGGTGGAAGAAGCTGAAGCTACTTGTCCATTAAAAACTAGAGGAAGAAAGCAAACACCCATGCGGGTTCAAGCTAACGCTCGGTAGATGTGGAAGTTAGATACCACCGATTGTTAAGGAGCTTGGATTCTGCTCTCGGGTTGCCGCTTCTAATAAGCAGTGGGATGGAGACACAATGAGGGTGTTCCTATTGTCGACATGCATGAAAAAGCTGAGAGAAAGGGGTATGCACACGTGCCCGCTCACCGGCTTCTGATTTTACGCCGTAGACACGATGGATCCCATTCTCTAGTGCTTCTGGTGTTTTGATTGGCCTTGACCAAACTTAAGTCTATTTTAACTTGATATTTGCCAGTCGGCCACTGTAAAATGTTTGAGAATCAGGAAGGAAAGAGGCGACTTCTAAAACGACGAAATGGAACCACCTCCTGAGACCAAAGCATTCGCGATGTTCGACAATATCTAGATTACCTCAAAAGGCCAACATTTGTCTACGTTAAAGACTGGAGTTAAAAGTGGAACTCGTCATTTAATTCTTTAAGGCACCTAAGCATATTACTGAAGAGCATCATTTAAGTAAAGGCAATGAGAAGGATCATTACTAATGCAGGCCAGCAGTGAAAGTGACGACACTTGAAATTATTTTATCCACACTTTTGCAGACAGCTACCCCACTTGGCCAACTCACAAGCTCCTCTGGTGTAAGTTTCCTTTTTTCATCATTAGCCCAAATACTGGTTTTTTTACGTCGACTCCTTTCCTCCCTCTGGTAAACGGCCTCAGGATGTCAATTGCTCACCAGTTCAAAGGTAATGGCCAATTTTTTCATTGCCTTATACATTTTTTATTCCTTTTCAGTTGGTTTCCTACTCCGCATCAACTGACACCCAACGCTCACGCAATAAGGATAACTTAGCAAAGGTAACCCCCATTTCTGCTTCCCATCACTCTGTTTTTTTGTGTGACTAACTCTACAATCTGCTTCACACTTTGCTGCTTCAAAGTTTACAGTAAAACCTTGTTCCATTGGGCAGGGTAATTAATGACTCCAACAAACTTGCTCCATAACATTACTTTCCATTTGTAGTTTTTCCAAAGACGCGTTAACGCAAAGGTGGGCGAAATCTCCGATTAAGAATCATTTGTTCAGCCAAATAGCAATTGAATTTTATGGGAAAAGTAAAATAGTAAAACTTACCTTCTTTTCCAGACAACAGAAAGCGCCAACTAAGAAGCCGATGTGGTGAGGGCATAAAAGAGAAGCTCATTGTTACCGTGAAGCTAAAATATTCTAGGATTATTACTTTAATTTCCACAATACATCCAATACTTTAAAATCACTGCCATATTTATGAACTGGTTCATCTTAAGCACTTTCATTTTTTGAAGACGGAAAAAACTCAAGCCGACCTGTTTGAATACAGCAGAGTTCTTTCATCCCAACGCTTCTTCTTTTACCTGATTCTCATTAATCTGTTTATCCACTTATAAAAAAAATGATTTTCTGGACAATTACCGTTATCTCGAAAATTCCACGGTTTTTTGGGTCAATGATAAAAGCGAGTGCATTGCTCATGCTGAAGCGCATGCTCTTTAAAAATTCTAGTTTTTATTGTAAAACATCCTTAATAACAGATTATGACGGGAATATCCATTGTAAATCAATTACACCACCGGCCGGGAGGTTTTGCTTAATTGAACAGCAACTTAATGCAGTGAAATATGCTTAACTTCTGGTAGTGATGAACATATTCAAAAGGAATTCGGGAAGGGGCACCCAAGGCACTGCTGCATTGCTGTGGTAACTAGTAATAAGGTGCTCGTGGAAGACTTCAACAATTTATGTGATAGACAGGTGGAGCGATACTTCACACTGCAGTCTACTGACACCACAAAAGCATCCATTCACAAAAACTCATGAGATGTGAGCTACTGGACGCGATTAATTAACACACTTAAAGCACGTGTAAAAAGAAATTATGTACACTAGAAATGAAACTGCTTTGGTGTCTCGTGTTTACTTCGGTTGCTATGGAAAATACAAACACGAAAAAAATGTTATCTTCCTGATAATTCCAGCTAAGCATCATGGTTTAAGCCCAATCGAAATTGAATCCTAACACACGAAATCGGGACGCATATCTCTAAAACAGAAGAGTCGTTGGAAACAATTAAAATCCAGTCATATTAGGACTTATTTGAACCATTGCATGTATGCATATATGTAAAAAGAGAACAGCTTTTTTGATTGAAGTCGCGCCAGCGCTGCAAACGTTAAAGGATGTGGCAGTGTGCATCATGAAATAACTTGTAACACAAATTACTCCCGAACCAATCAAAATAAAGGAAAGCACTCACAAGTCCGCTGGGTTCAGAGGAATGTGCCTGATAAAAACTCGCTATTCAGTAACAAGAGCTGAAGCAAAGTAAAAGAAGATTAAGCTACTTTATAGAGATTAGGAATTTGAGGACGGTATGTGCAAGATTCAAAAAGCTTCAGGATAATAAGCAGGAAGTATTTTATAACAGAAGATACCACGACCAACAAAAAAAAGCAAATCAGCCCAGATTTTGAAAACAATACCAAGGGACGGAAGATGTAGGGAGTGACACTTGTTGCGAAAAATAAAATGATCTTGTTGTGTTTACAGAATATGTGCATTTTATAGCCTTTATTTTATTGTGCCGACAGCCTAAACTATTCTTAAATTTAATACTTTTCACCGTAAAAACTGACATTTAGGAATAATTTTCGTTAAAGCTAAAATGTAAAAATCTTGGATATAGTGGTAGTTGCGCAAAAATTCTCTAATTTAGCATCGCCTACACATGATGCAATTCTGCTTACAGTTGAGCTTGCACAAACAGGCGGAACCGCCATATTTAAAGTCCATTAGGGTGGTCGAACTACAATTCTGGTTAAGTGAGACGATTCCCCTAAATTACTATCTGAAATTAAGTTTTGTACTTTGGTTAGCTTTACCTATTGCTCTTCATCTAAGCTACTGTGCTTCTTCGAAGTTGCATTTTCTGATCCGCTTAGAACACTTTTTTGTGACTTGCCCTCGTGTTTGATTTTTCGCTTCTAATTTGCAAATTTCGGATGCAATCGGCATGGTGTTTTTATCCACCGTTTTTTGGCTCAATACCTACTGCCCTATTTTGGTGATAAAATTGCTTTCTTTGTGTTGTCTATCCAATTTGGTTTTTAATTTTAACCGGTTTTATCATTCACGCACTGGTATTTTCACTGAATGCTTCCAGTCTTGATTTTCCTCTCTTTTTTACGCCTCAAATACTCTAAAGTTGAACCTTTTAAATCCGGTCTTGTTATAATCTTACTAAAACTTGTTTTCTGTTCTAGTTACGACAATGTTTAATAACTCTTCACCAGAGTCAAAGGATTTGTCACGTCGGCCGGCTAAAGCAAAACACGCCCTAATTAAATCACCAGTCAGTCCCATAAGTGTTAACATTGCTTTGCCGCAGAGAAAGCGAGCCAAGATCATTCGTTTCACCACCGATGACTTTACCTGGCAATGCTGGCAGTGCCTCAGCGCCTTCTCCAGCAACGTGGATTTGGACGATCATCTGAAGGACTGCGACTCTCGCAACGCTGCAGAAGGTGATGTGATTCTGCCTATGGGGGACTCCCTGCCCGGTTGTCCTTTCTGCCCTCGTGATGGGTGCCAGGCCGAGTCGAAACCCTACTACTTCCATGACTTTAACGCCCATGTTGGGAGTCAGCATTCGGAAGTGAAGGAACTCTCTTGTCCATACTGCACTGATAAGATTCCCTCACCACGTTTGGAAGACCTCACTTCGCACATCCTGCTCGATCATCAGATTCATTGGCGCCCAAGTCCTGGTAAGATATTTCATTTAGCAAGTTTTATTATCAGCACGTTTTAATGTAGATGTGATGAAAAGCTTTATTAAGCGCCTTGACTTTGCTCACTACATTGTTCTGTGGTGAGTGCCACGAAAAGCGGTATTAGATGACTCGTTATCGTTAGGTTTTTTCGGTGAAGGTAAGGGTAAAAAATTCTCATTTCTGTTGTGGGAATTGCAACGCTTCCGTCACTGTAGTTCCTAGTTTTATCATCCGTTAAAGATTTTCACTATTTCCAGGCCTATTTTCCGTTTCACTTTAAAGGGATAATTATCGCGACGCAGGGCCTCTTTGTATGCCCAAATGATTCACATTATGAGAAGAATGGCATTACTCTTCATAACTGCAGACAGTGCCGATGCTCAAAATCGGTTCCGTTTCTATTGTGGCTTCCGTAATGGTTTTTCTTGGTCTTCTGTATTACTGCCTCATTAATGAACACTTCGAAATTATTTCACGTAATTATAGTTGATGATATCTACATACATCTGAGATCCAACTATTCTGCAAAAGAAATTGCACATTTTCGAGACCATTGTAGCTTGAGTGCTGCGACAACTTCATCAATTACTTAATCTCTAGCCTCAATGGTGTACCAGCGCACGGACGATGTAGCTCACCGCGTGGTGACTTGTCTTGGGTGTGGATGGTGCACCTTCGTTCTGCGCGCCCAGGACGCTGTGCAACCACCAGCCTCACTCGCCTCGCACATGTCGCGGTGTGCCGGTCGCGGTGCCCGTCTCTCCGTGCCTCGCCTCCCACCCTACCTTCGTCGGCCCACTCAAGTGCCCACGAGGGCTCTCGTCTCTGCTCTCACAGCCGCCTCTGCCAGCGCCAGTCACGCCTTCGCAGTGCGCTTCCCCGGCGTGCGCGGTTATGTTGCCTCCACCTTCGAAGCAACCGCTACCGGCCCTGGCACTTCGTCTTGGTCCGTCGCGGTAGATGCGGAGGGCGATGGGCTGCCTCAAAAGCGGCCAAAGTACCAGCCCCCATTAAAGGTGGCTTCACCTGTGTCCATTACTGTCCCGTCGCCACCACCGGAGGGCAATACCAAATTGGAGGAGGAAGAAGTAAAAGCTAAAGAAAAAGGCGACGAAGCGGAAGAGTTAAAACCGACTCTGGAGGAGGAGAAGCTTACTAATGGAAATGTAAGCAGGCGCGGGGGTTCTTTACATATTCAAACTATTTATTGAATATTGTTGACCTTTCCAGAAGGTGCGCTTTATCTACGTCTAGATTTCATGCTGCCCCCAAGGATAGCAATCTAGTACACCGTAGGCTTGCTTTTTTTAAAGGATGGTTAGAGGGAACAGTAGCTACTATATCATGAAGTTATCATCTAAGCTATTTTAACTAAGGAATTTTACTTTAGTTGTAAACCATACAAATCTTCTCCGTACACTGTCGACGTGTGTCGCATTGCCAATGATTATATTGTAAAAATCAGCCGGCAGAAACACTATCCACCTAGTGAACCTAGGCACCTTCCACTTGGCCTTAATGTTTTGGGTTTAGTCCGACAATTTGTTTAATCTACAGTCTCCGTAGCTAGCTGCCGTCACCGTCATAGTCTAGCCTTATTTTGAGCAACACAGCTTTCCAAACTTTAGTTACCTGGTTCTGCAAAAAATTAATGGCTCTTTTCAAGTTATTAACTCGTGGTGATGAGTGAGCGCAAGTTCGATGCCACCCCATGAGTATGTGAATCGACTGTTAAAGTTATTACTTGAGTAATGTAAGAACATCTTCCTCGTACGCCTCACTTTTATTGCAAAGGCTTCATTCACTGTTTGCACTTGCTATCCATGCTAGCAGTCGTTTGGCCTTAAGTCTTGCTTATCTTTCTCTCCGTTAGCTTTGTGGCTCGCTTTGAGCCTTAATTCACTATTAGCTTGGGTAGATTTTGTCTTTACTGATGGTGATTAGTTTTTCTATCGTGGAATTAAAAAATTATACATGTAAGCTGGTCCATTGATTTGCTTATTCATCTATTGATGTGTCTTTTTACCGTGTGAATTTGCTGAGTTTAAAAAAAGATAGTGTACATCATCTGCTACTCGTGGTTTGCCAACAGTCTTGGATACCTTCGGTGTTTAGCTCATTAGCCTCTGCCACCACTTTGGATATTGGATGGCTTTGGATCAATCGACCGCGCTCATCTTCTAAATCGCAAAATTGTTTTGGGTTTGCATACCTATTATCTAGATGCGCCAATATGCACAGGTTTTTGCTGCATTTTTTCTGTACCTTTAATGTGCGGCTACGTCCCTTTGCAATCACTGATGGACTGATGTAAAATGGTGTATCATCGGGTTGGTTAAATGCTTAGCTATAAACCTCGCAAATATGGGAAGACGTTTTTAACGTAAAGATGCGTCGAGAGGCCTACCTTCCCAGAAACTCCATGCTGCTCCGTTCAAATATTATCAATCACAATGTTTGTTCAATTGACAATTTGATTTACTAAATGCATCACTAATACAAATTCCAGGCTGCTGCATAGCTTCCTTATTTCGAACGTCAGTGACAGGGGTGGAAAGTGATACGATGACTTCGCATAATGGAGAGAATGCTACCTATTTCATCAGTGGATGCAGAGGCTACATAATTAGACTTCTTGAATATCATATCCTCCAAAAGGCGAATTGTGTTTTTGTTCGAGTAACTTGAAAGGCGTACTAAAGACTGGATGTTGTTTCTCAGTGAGTTTATTTGTGTACTAGTCGTCTTGTGCAATAGTCTTTACTTAAAAGCAGCGTGGGGAAGAGAGTTTGCATGTTTTAATGCTGTGATGTAACTCATTGCGTTTGGGTCCATGGTAAACACATTCTTAAGAATGCATCTATTTCATTGCGATCCCCTCCCACTCCCTCACTGGCCATTGTGTAGAATCCGAAATTGGGGCACTTGCCAAAGGCCAGTGCAACGAGTCTACAGATTTGGCCATCGATAGCATACGCCCTATTTGAAGCTTAGAATTTTCATCTTCCCGAATCGAGTTTGCCAACTGGTCTTACCAATATAGTCCTCTGAGGTGTACATGAATACATAAATACAAGAGCCAGCGAACTTTTGTTGTCAGTATTCAGTAGATCGAAGGGCAGCAGACTATGATGCCGAAGTGGTTGAAGTCGTGTTAATGAATGTCCTGTTAACAACTCTCGTTGATCGTTTTCTAGGAGCCAACACTATCACCACAACCAACAGCCGAAGCGGAAGCTTTTGTGAAACCGGGGTCCACCTCTCCGGTAAAGCATCCACAGGCAGAGGAGCAACAGCAGGAAGAACTGCAAAAGGTCGAGGAGAAGGAAAATGAAAATGAGACAGCAAAAATGGAGAATAAGACGGAAGAAGAGGATGAGCAACCGCCACCACAACAGCAGCCAACGCCAGCACCCCAACCACGCAAACGCACAACAGCAGCAACAACACCGACACCAGCTTCACTACGAAAGAATGCAGTCCCCAAAGGGGTGTTCGATGTGCCCTTGGACTTACCTCCTTCGCCACCTCCCTCTTCCACTACTGCAACAGATAGCGCCAAAAAACCGGCCTCTACCCGGGTCTACGTGTGTCCCATCTGCGGCGATAATGCGCTATCAAGTCTGCGTGAACGGGATAAGCATCTGCAGGTTGAGCACACTGGTGAACTGGTCTTCCCATGTCAGGTGGGTCAGAGGGCTCAAAACAACCTTGCTCGGATATTTGTGGAGCTGATAGCGAATCGCGTTAACTGTCGCTTTAGTCCTAGCTACTGCTGCTGAGTCCTCAATTACATTAACAAGATTATTCTCTAGCCATCTTTCACTTGCTTTCAATAGCTCTGTGGAATGGCATACCCCGTCTACATCGCGCTGCGTCGTCACGCGGTACTCAAACATGCGGCCAACTTCGATGCAGTGCTCTACGGACAGCCTGACATGGAGCCGGTGGAATGTCCTTTTTGCGAGCTCGTAGCCTTCACCTCGCCCGAGGTGCTCCAGCTCCATTTGGCCAAAATCCACCCTGAGCAGTTTGAGCAGCAGGCAGTTGTCTCCGCCGTCGCCTCTGCGCTCGCTGCACCCGACTCTGACTCTGATGCTGAGGGTGGTGGTCGCCGAGCCGATGGCGATGATAAAGACGATAAGGACTGGGAGGTGGAGAATGGATCCAAGGTTGGCGGCATCGCCAGCGCTCCAGCTGCTAGCGCCGCATCGGTCATCGCAGCCGCTACTAGGCTTGAAGGCGGCTCCGGAGTGAGGAGGGTTAGGGGAAGAGGTGGTACGCGTCTTTTTTCGGTTGCTTTTTTCCCGTCTTTGGCGGTGTGTTGAGTTGCTTAAGCATTAATGTGGCCTTTATTGCTCATTTTACCTGCAATTCCACTTTTTATTTATTTAACAAGAGGTCGTCCAAAATTCCAAACCTTTTAGGAGTTCTAGTTTTTGTGTTGCTTCAGAATAACCATCTTGGCAGACCTCCTTCTTCGGATCTCTTTCGGCGATCGATGAAGTTTCCCTTTTGAAACCACCACTTTGGAGCAACGTGGACGCAATTTGACAGATACACAATTACTGCCTTAGCGCACCATGTGACTGGGATCTTGAAAGAACTTAAAAACTTTCTCTTATTTTTCATTTTAAGGACGAAGAGGTCGTTCAAAGTCCCTAGGTGCTCCAATCTACACGTCAGCGGATCTGCTGAACGACCCTGATCTACTGGAGAGTGTAGAGAACTCCCTGCAAATGCGCCGGTCCTTCACGCCAGGCCGTCGAGGGCGTGGAAGGGGTAGAGGTCGTGGGAGTGGCGGTGCCGGCGCAGTGCGCAGTCGCGGGACAGGTCGTCGTGGACGTCCAAGGGGTTCCACGCGTGCTTTTGGTATTCATACCGCAACGGCCGCCACCACGGTGGCCACTCTCCACCAGTCTTTGGCGCCAGTTGCGCAGCAGCAGCTGAACACATGCACCGTTATCACTGGCGCAGCTGTACACTCAGTAGAGGGTGTTGCGGTGGCGCCGGCGTCGGTGATAGATGGAATGGAACTTCCACCACCGCCAAATGCGGTTAGTCAACTGGAAATGGTGTTGGCCCAGACGTCTCCGGACCACGCGCTAGTCACTTGTCGTCTGTGTGGTGCGGAGGCTCAGGTTGTGCTGGATAACGCAAAGGAGCTGTACATTCACATGGAACTGGTAGGTCGCACCTCTGGTCGTTGTCATTGTCAGACTTTCTCTTGTAGTGGACATTCGAATCCAATCAGCGCTTTTTTCTACCCTTGCGTAGGACCACAACCCGGAGTCGACTTGTGAGCAGTTGGGCTGTCAAGCTTGCGGCCGTATTTTCTTTGGTCCACATCACCGTGGAGACCTGATCGGCCACATCCGCGTGATGCACCAAGGACAGGAGGAAGCAATGCCCTGTCCCAATCACGCTGCAGAGGGCGGTTGTGGGGCCAAATTCACCTCCACACGCCTTCGTGATAGTCATCTGCTGATGACCGATGCTCCCGGCTGGTCGTGTCCACTTCAGCTGGCTGCTGAAAGCCTCCAAGCCGTCACAGAGGTAGCGGAAGCGGGGGGTGCCGCTGCCGAAATCTTTGACACGATGGTCTTAGCCACGGAAATTGCCGCTGATGCTGTGGGGCAGATGGTTCTGGCCTACGGTTGTCCGCTCTGCTCAAGGGTATTTGTTGGACAGAACTGCACCGCACGGTACCTGGCGCATCAGTCACAATGCGGTGCAGTAGGAGGTGATGAAGTGGTGTCGATGGAAGCGGACCAGTCGCACTCGGTGATGGTATTGGCCACGGTGGCGGACAATACTCAATAGTAGTGGTGGCAGCAGCAGCAGCTTTGTTTGTGTAAATAACCCGGCGTAGCCAATTTTTTTTATACGAAATTGTCATGAAAGAGTGCGGTATGCATGTAGTTAATCGGTCTGTTTGTCTCGACATCCGCTTGATTTAAAAAAGGTTATACTCGCGGCCAATCTATACCCTCCTCAGCCCGATGTCTCTATCTATGTAAGTAAGAATGTATGTATGAATGTATTTGGGCGTTAAAACCGCGCTGCGATTGCTGCTACTACTCTCGATCATTGCACTGACCGTTTGTAACGAGGTCCATTTTTTTCTATGGAGGATGAATATACGTATATATATACAAGTAATTACACTCAGATTATAGCATTCCCAGAGGCGACTTTTCGCTTGTTCTCCCCTTTCAGTTGGTCTCGGGTTGGCCCTGGAAACTACGGGTGAGGATATGGACTTCGGGTTCTCGGTTTTTTTGCGTTGGCGGGATGTTTACCTCTAAATTTAACCACAAATGAGTGAATTGATTGGGAGTGTGTGAGGTTTGGAGGTGCCTCTAGCAATAATTGCATCCGTTGGAGGCGGTGGGAGGGGAGCTGGTGTGTTACTTACTTGCCTTGGGTTCAGTCGCGATTGGTTGGGCTGGGAATCGTCAAAGGAATAGTTGATGTTCATGCGACTCGATGTTTGGAGTTCTCATCAAAGTATGGGGGCAATTTTGCACCATTTTCGGAAGCAAGGTGCGGTCTCTGATTTTCCTTTTAACAGTTGTCCGGGGGAATCCTTCCGGGCGATTCGTTGGAGTGGTCGATACCGCGATGCTTAATCCCACGCCGACGAGTCAAGCTTCTTCCGAATGCTTTGTCTCCAACCCCAATTACTTTCATTTCTATTTTTTATTTCTCACCTGTTTACACCAATTGTGAAGAGGTGAGGAGCGATAGACAGATAACCCAATACCCATTGTCATTTGCCAGCCCATGTAGGTGGCGGCCTGTTGATTTGTAGTTCTCAGGATTCACTTAGTTGGTGTCGTAGGTGCGGGTCAAATTATATCGCAGTCAATATTCTTAACACGTCAACATTGAATCGGCGTATCATTGGCCGTGGTCAGCGAAAGAAGGGCGTCTAAATTAAGCAGAAAAATTTGCTCAAGTCTGCATTCTTAAAAGAGTTCTTCTCCCGTTAAAATAAAATTATTGATGGTTTTAGGGTAATCACTCGTAGAGGAGTTCACGCAGTGCCAATCTTCATGGCGAAGCGGCGTTGAAAGCAAATGATGCCCCACGAATATTACAATCCCAAGTTGGGGGGTTTTGGCATTTTCATATCAACTGAATGGCTTGAATTCAGTCTTGGTTTTACTATAAATGATGCACGTATCAAATTGGGTATGAAGATGTTTTGGATTGTTTAATTTTGTGCTAAATATGTCCTGACACGCAATTCTATGAGAGGAATAAAAATAATGGTGCAGATGTCACTGCAAAAATTTATTTGGTGGCTTGTGCTTGTACAAGTACCTTGGTGATTAATTTCGTTCCGCAGTGGAAAGGCTTAATATGCCTCCAGAGAAGAGCAGTGACGTCACAATTGTAAAATTAGCATTCGCTAACCCACAACCGGCAAAAATTTTGCCTTTTTACCACTAATCAAATGGAGGGATTATTAAACTCAATGATGGGATTCAGCGGGATTCGTGTACTAGAGTACATGGGCAAAGAGCAGATAGACAGTGCTCGTTTTCTAAACACTTTGTTGCACTTGCTTTGCAGCTCTCGATCACAGCTACCAGCACTCTCGGCAGATGAAATGGATTAGCATGCGCATTTTGATTTATCTCAAATTTTATAATAGCCGACCTTCCCATTGGGCAGGCGATTATGCAATTTGTCTGTGCTTTTAACCAAAAAAATGTTTTGGGAAAGTGCAGCTGTTCCACCTCAAATAACAGAGGTAACTTTCCTTTTTTTGCCAGATGAATTTGCAGGAAACGACTCTTGAGGAATTCCTTGATAATGATTACGTCATACAGCATGTTATGGCTCGGTGCACAGAAGTCATCAATTAGTAAATTCGAACCCCTGTTTAGAAATTATTTTAGCCTCTTAAATCCCGGTCGTATATCGCACCTTATTGAATTGGTGGTCGACCAGTCAAATATCACGTTTGATGCAGTTCGATTTAAGTGAGCTTTACGTTCCTATAACTTGTTTTTTTTTGTCTTGTTGCTTCAACATCTTATTTACGCGGTCAATATTGCTAAGTACATCTTACATTCAGACTTATTACTACTGGGTTTAAAGTTTTGCCTCATATTTTGAACATGCGTTGTGTTTTCTATATGCTATCTCCCTCTCAACCCTTAAACAATTGTTGTCGAAAATATCCTTTTATCTTCATTTTTGTTTTGGGAACTATTTAAAGTAGCTAGCATTTACTCTATTCAAACTTCTGCAAAATTTCGCCTTTCTTTTCTATCCTAGACGTCCCTCGGTTGCGGCAGAAATCCTCTCCAGTGGTGTTCCCGCCTTAGTGGACTTTCTCGTCTCTACGGGCTGCCAGACAGGTGCCGATGATGCCAATAATGTCTTTTCTCCCGGCTCTATGCCATTTGTGGAAAGTCTATTAACATTCATAGACACCTCTATGCCGCTCAATCCTCTTTCTGCCGGCTTCTTTGTCAAAATCATGACCAATTTACTTTACTTCAAGGCCTCTGAGGTACGGTTTGAGACCTTAAAATGCTTTTTGCTTTGGTGAAATTGATGCGTTTTGGCCTAGTAAGTGGGCCGACTGGTAATATTTATAGCAGTTTTAAATCATTATCTCCATTCCTTGCTTTGCGGCATTTCAGATTTCCTCGTATCTGTATTTCCCGTCTAATAATCGTTGTCTTCTCTCGTTGTGTCGTACATCTCGCTTTTGGTAGATCTTCACTCTCCCCGTCAATAACTTAAACCTCTTTATAACCAAGTTTATGCATTTGGCCTATTTTTTGCCTTTTTTTTCCGCTGATGCGTCTTAAATGGAACATTTTAGTTGGTTGTTCTATTGGCATCTCTCTGCCTGTGCCCGGCTAGCTCGATCATATAGCAATTAGAACTAGTTAATAATGCATTCAACTATTAATTTCACAATTCCAAGTTTCCAAACTATCATATTACCTCATAGTCGCTGCCCACTCATTTTGAATGGCGCTAATAGTGTGTGCATCGCTTTCAGCGGGCCCGTTTTGATGTTGGAGGGTTGAAGTGATTTATGTGAGTGGCATTATGACATGCACTGCTTGTGATTATAAGTGCCTACCATGTCGAAGTTGCTGCATAAACTAAGTCTGCTGATATTGATGTTAATAGGTCACATTAGTGCTAGCCGGGTCACTTCTCTGCATCGATCACTACGAAGTCGGGCCAATCTCTCACTGCATTTCATGCTCTTTCCGCACTCAAAATTGCGCACTGAGGTCGAGTCTGCGCCGAGTTGCTAACCTCCACTGCATCAAACTATCGTAGATTTTCATGAGCCAGGTTCTTTACTATTGGCAGGCTTATTTATTTTTTGTAACGGCCCAACATATGGAGTGGTTCATGAAAGTTTTTACATAGTATGGTATTCGTATTCTTGGTTTACTGCCATTGGTTTGTTCATTTTGTTCCAAGACCAATGTTTGGGATACTGTTCTTAAATTCCTTTAATTTCTGTTCCTTTTTTCCCAACTCGTAGAATGAGGATTTATCAAGTCAGTTGACTGAGTATGTCAGTTTTTTGCAAGGGATGTTCTCGACTCGTCGCACTGATTTTCTTCCGGTGTTTGGGCTTATTTTCCCAAAGACGTTTATTGCACAGCTGTAAACTGTGCGAAGGGCATGTAGACATTTTGCCACTTTCAATTGACCCATGCACAGTCATCGCTGTAGCCGTTTCCTCCTTCCCAATGCGCGGTGGTCCAGTTTTTTGACATAGAGTTATGAACGAAATACTCAGCTAGCAATGTTGAAGTCCGAATGACCCTAGCATTGGAAGCTTTAAGTGATTATTTTTTTGATGAAACAATACACAAATGGGTTCGTGAGTCATTTCATTCTAGTTTTTCCCCACTTCAAGACACCCCTTTACCTTTGAGCAGAAAGCATGCCTTTTAGGTCTGTAAAATTAAAGCATAGGCAAGTGCATTATCGCCATCACAAAGGCTGCCATATTATGCTTATGGTCGGTTGAAATCGTCATACTCTGGATAGCTGATTACTTCATTTTCTAATTTGCCGAGTGGATATCTACTTTGTCTTTTAATATTTGCGTTTTGCTCAGCAATCGTCGTTTTGCCAGTGTTTTCGCTATGAGGTCAAACCGCTATATTCTATGGTAGTACAATGCATCTAAATCCGATCAAAGCGCTCACAAACGAAAAGTCCTTGGCGCAGAGAGGGTGCAGCTAGCTAATGAATGAAATTGCGTTTGTCGATGGTTTGAGTAGGCAATTTCCCTCGAGTAGTTTAATTTAGTCCTTATCGTATATGAAATAAGTAAGTGGGTGAGCCACAGGCAGCTGCAGCAGTGAATGCTAGCGCATTCGCTTCAAATCCTACATGGATTGACTGCTAATTCATGGGTATCAGTAATTTGCTGAAAGTGGAGTTTTGAACGCATCCTCGTGCACAAACTGAATAAGAAATTTCCTACTTTTTGACCTTACTTGACCTCATTGACCATAATTGTCAATACGCTGTGCGTCGGATCCTTGTGACTGGTTGTATCGGTAGTGCTGGACACGGGGCCAAGACCGACTTTGGTGTTTACTACCGGGCCGACTGCGGTACAAAAGCGACTGCTATTCAATCATGACCAAGAGTATCAACACTCTTTCAGACAGGATGTTACTAGTATCCTGGTATGTTGCGTTTTCCGCTAGCCACACCGATTCATTTTTCAATTAATGTGGGCTTTCTAGTAAACAAAACGCCATCGAACATTGCTCACGTCGCATTTATAATAAGTGAAAATTTGAACGAGCAGA